CGTCTCACTTGCACATCCAACTTATATTTTCAGGAACTTACAGGATTTCTCCAACTGGGTGTCCCAAAAGCCACTTAAATTTAACACACCCAAAGAGAAAGCAGAACCTGCCCGGCTGTCTTGGTCCCATTGCATCGCCAATCATCTTATCACCATCCACCAATGAGATGATTCAGAGTCATCTACGAGGTCTCCTTTCTCTCCTCCTGCTTCCAGCGTATCCTGGGATCGTATCTCCTGCAATGACTTTCAAAATCACCACTCCCCCCTCCTCCCCGGTCCCATTCCTCCCAACGGGAATAATAACACAAAAGCAGTATCAACAACGCAACATGCTTCTGACACATCAACAGCACTCGCCAACGTACAGAACTTCCTCCTACTGGAATTGAGATTAGTTTCCTGGAGAAGGTGCAGAAGGTTGGGTGAGTGGAGTACAAAATGAGGCACAGTGTCCTCCTTCCCCAGGAAATGAGAGTTCAAAATAAAAATGTCATTTTATCTTGGACAATCAAAGGGATGGTTCTCACACACCTCACTTGGTGGACTGAGGGGCATATTAGTTACACCAACCTAGAAGTTAACCACATCAACAAAATTGCCCAATGGTCTAAGATTCACATTTAAATATTTAGAGTAAAAAAAAAAATTAAAAATCTACTAGAAATTTTATTGGGCAAATAGGTTGAAAAACCATTTGTTTTCAGTTTTGATTTCCGGTGTATAAAAAATAGAGTTTGTAACTTTTCATATCATACTGATTTTATCAAAGAAGTGCTGGTTTTAATGCCTTTTAATTTTGCATTTTGTCTTGTAAAATGGATTATGCCAATGGGCCATAATTTTTTAAAAGGCCCTTTACACACTCAATTTTCAGGAGAAAAATACTGGCTAATTTACATGCATTTCTAAGAAGGGTGAATAAAGATATGAATAGCAGCAGTGTGCAGTGTCGGCCTGTGGGGGGCGTGGGGGAGGCAACCAATAGATGTGAAAAAAAAATCAATGGAAAAATATTCTCGGGTGAGGATTTAAAAAAAGATATGAACAGTAGATTAAAAATAAATGTTACTGTAATTTGCTCTTTTAACAAATGTTAGGGTGTGGTGTCATCTAGCCCTGGCCAGTTTTGCTCAGTGGTTAGAGCGTCATCTAGCCCTGGCCAGTTTGGCTCGGTGGTTAGAGTGTCAGCCTGCGGTCCAGAGGGACCAGGGTTCAGTTCTCGCTGGTACCTCGGTTGCAGTTTGTCCCCGGCCCTGGTTGGGTTGTGCGGGTGGCAGCCACTCGATGTGTCCCTTTCACATCGATGTTTCTCTCTCTTTCTCTCTCTCTCCCCCCCCCCCCACTCTGTCTGAACAAAGAGATGGAAGGGTGTCCTCGGGTGAGGATAAAAAAAGAAAAACACATCTACTGTTTCATAACAAAATCATCTTGTGTTCTTCTTTACTTTGAAAGATTCCATGAGTACTTAATAATACAAGTATTTTAGTCAAAATATGAATGATCCCTTCAACATTACCTCCAAGGTCAAGCAGGTGCTGGAGTACAGGGCCTCTAGGATAACATGGTGACAGAGAAGTATCCAAAGTGACAGGTGAGCTGAAACACACTTGCTTACATTCCTGCCTAGTAGCATGGAAATGATCTAGTCATATCCCTAATATCTTTTCTACTCTTTGTTAAAGTTAAAACCACATGCCATATTTTACAAACTATACTTATATGCTACATATACCATCAAAACAAAAAGTAAAACAAAAACCACTTACTATTTAAAAAATAGAGATCAAGAAGCTACATACATGATTGCTTTGAAAGTGCCTTTTTTAGTTCCCCCTCCCCCCAAAAGATAGTGAACGTTGTTGCCAGGTCGGTGTGGCTCAGTAGTTGAGTGTCGACCCCTGCACCAAGAGGTCGCTGGTTTGATTCCCGGTCAGGGCACATGCCCAGGTGTGGGCCTGATCCACAGTGGGGAGCATGCAGGAGGTGGCCAATTGATGTTCTCTCTCATCGATGTTTTCATCTCTCTCTCCCTCTCCCTCTCCCTTCCTCTCTCTCTAAAAATAAATAAAGAAAATTAAAAAATAGTGAACTTTGTTAAGTTTGGGCTACTATTTTATCTCATTGTTGAGTTTGTCTGTACCCAAAGAGCAAATAGTTTTCCTGTGATGTCATCATTAAAACAACAATTCTAATAATTGTTGAGTTGAACCTTGAGGTTGCAAACTTGGTTATGGGATGTTTACTATAGAAATGGCTGTTTGTTCACGCAAGGTTTTACACTGTGGTTGTCAGAGGAGGTTGCTATACTTCCTCATTCAGGTGATGAACCCGCCGATGGAACTCATGAGGCTCTGGGATGCTCTCTGAGATACAGGCACTTGGAGGTATTGCTCCTTGTAAAAATTATTTACGGCTCAAAAATATAGCTCTTAATAGTTGAATTTAAAAACAAAATACAGGAAGTTGCTTTCTTGGACTTTGTGAGTTGATGATACAACACGTGGGGCAGAAATGAAAACTAATCCTCTTGCTGTATTTTTACCTTATTTATTTATTGAGTTCATTGAGGTAATATTGGTCAATAAAAACAACCTGCATTTTAAAAAAGTTTGCTGTGCAGAGCTGATTTTTCATCTTATAATTAGCCCAAAGCCTGGTCTACACCCTCCATTCCATTTGCTCCCACCAGAACAGTGGCTGAGCCTCCACAGGTCTCAGATTTATGCTGGTACTTTTGTCTTTTACCAACAAAAAACACCAACGGACTGGTTCTCATTTTCTAATGGCAAAAAGTAATGAATGAATGGAAGTGGGTCCTTCACAGAGAACATTACGTGGAGTACTGATTAAGTGGTGTAAAGAATTGAAATGAGCCCTAGCCAGGTTGGCTCAGCGGTTGAGCATCGGCCTGCGGACCAGAGCCCCGGGTTCAGTTCCTGCTAGGGGCACATACCACAAAAAAAAAAAAAAAGAATTGAAATGAAACTCATTGCCTTTTTGAAACATAGGAATTCGGGAAAATTGAAATGGAATGACATTTTAATTACACATGAATCATGGACTATGGCTCTAACAGTTCCTAAGGATCACAACATGACAAACAGCTACTGTTATTTTAGAGAGAGAAAATAAAGATTTCATGTAGATTTTAAAATTTGCACCTGCAAGTAACCATTTATTTAAGAAACAATGCCAAGCCTGGTTGGTGTGGCTCAGTGGATGGAGCACTGCCCCATGGACCGAGAGGTCCTGGTTTGATTTTCAGTCAGGGCACATGCCAGGGTTGCAGGCTCGATCCCCAGTAGGGGGCGTGCAGGAGGCAGCTGATTGATGTTTTTCTCTCACATTGATGTCTCTCTCTCTCCCTCCCTTCCTCACTCTCTAAAAAAATCAATAATAAAAAAAGAATACCACTTAAAAAGAAACTATACCAAGGAAATGAAAGAGTGTGTGCATGAGTGTGTGTGTATGTGTGTGCTTATATATGTGTGTATATGTTGTGTATGAGTGTGTGCCCATGAGTGTGTGTGCACATGAGTGTGTGTTATGTATGGGTGTGTCAACATGTGTATGAATGTATGGGTATGTGTGTAGGGGTGCCCATGTGTATGTGTGTGTATACATGTGCATGCATGTACATGTGCATGCACATGTATGTGTGTGTGTTAGGGGAGAAGAGCAGAAATGAAACGAAAAGGAGTTTGGAATTCTGAGATAATTCTGATGCTGGATGGGTATTTATTACGAGCCTATCTTAATAAATATTTTTTCTATGTGATGAAAGTCAGCAAATGTGAGTAATCAAATTCTCTAATAACTAGAGTTGTGGAGTTCTCTTTGGCAGGCAAAGATTTTCTTTTCCCGAAATGATCTTTTCCTATTTTAGTTTTGTTCAAATACTTAGGCCAGACTCATATGTTTCAGTAGAAGGCCACCAGGAGACTCGGGAGCAGGTGGAAGATAAAGGTCGTTTTGAAAGCGGATCGCGAACGGCCAGACGGAGCTCCGGGGGAGCTGGGGAGTGCAGGGGGGGCTCTATCGCCATCTGGTCTCACCACGGGCACGAGGCAGCTCCTCCAGGGGTTAGCGCAGTGAACCCGGAGTGGGTGGCGGAGCGAGTTAGCACGTGTGAGCCAGTTACGTAGCCCTACTTTCAAAGTCACTCTTTTTTCTGCTAGGAGGAGAGATTTTCAGCTTAGGTTTCCCAGCTGGTTTCTGGTCCAGTTCATGGCCAACATTTTTCTGCTTAACTCTCATTGGGCATATTTCTTTGGAGTCATTTATTTGGGATTGTTTTTAGAGAAAAGATAGGAGAAAATGCACAGGGTCCAAGGGCACTGGCCATGTAGGAGTGAGCTGGGGCTGAAAGGCATCATTTCCGGGAGACTGGAGAGGCCTGGGAGTAGCATTTATTCTAAATCTCAGTCCAGATACCCCTTGTGGGTATTCTAGTTATTTTGAAAGAATGCCAAGAAGCAAAACAACAACAACAGCAACAAAACCCCACCCTTCAGAGGGCAAAAGTTCAAATGAGAATTTATTTTCAATGTTAAAAGGGAAGATAGACGGTGAGTAAAATCGAGAACACGAATTAAAACGCAAGTGCTCAGAACGCCCAGAAGTTTGGTTGGCTGAGGGTTCGTTTTTTTGTGAGCCAGAAGCATCGAACACATCTGCCTGGTTCCTAAAAGGTTTTTGGAACTGGCTGCTAGTGTCAGATAAAAGCCGTTTACTGCAGCTTCAAGGCGTGCCGAGGAAGGCGGGTGGGTGTGAGAAAAAGTCCTACGAGTGGGTTGACCCTGCTGCTGAAGGAATTATATGTTCAAAGCTGTGTGTGGGGTGTGTGTGTGTTGCCTGCTTATTTGCAGTTACAAGGGGCAAAATGAGACCCGTAGGTGAGACCAGAGCCTGGCACTATTGGCATTTTACTACAAGCTCAAGCATACAACTGATTTGAGGTCTATCACTTTCTTTCTTTTTTTCTCTTTTTAAGTTCATGTCAGATGGGTAATGTGCCACAGTCGTTACAAGGTTTAGTGGGAGGCACATCTCAGACACAAGTATGAAGACCCAATCATCTCGCTTATGAACTACAGAAGGATCACCACTTTCTTTTTTTTTTTTAAATATGTTTTTATTGATTTTTTTAGAAAGAGCGAGAGGAAGAGAGAGGGAGACAGAGAGAGAGAGAAACATCGACTAGCTGCCTCGAACCGGCGAGCTCTTGCTGCATGGGACAATGCTCAACCAGTGAGCCACACCGGCCAAGGCAGAGGCTGACCACTTTCTTAAAAGGCTTCACCAGTTACGTCTCTCCATGTAACTAACTGGAAGACTTTACTCACCCAAAAGAGAACCTATTTGTAGAAGCTGAAAGTCACGAGGGACATTCATATGATTTATTACAAACCCGACTTGGAGACAACTGAGGTCCAAAACAGCCACATGGCCCGCCTAAGTTACCAAGGTGCAGTCAAAGCATTTATTCCCTGCCTGGTGGTTATCATTATCATTATGGAAGTCGTTTTTCCTGAGGAAGTAAGAATTATACACTACAGGGTGGGGCAAAAGTAGGTTTACAGTTGTGAGTATGCAAAACACAGGTTAATTCTTACATTTTTAATATTAATTAATCATTGTATTATTTTCCATACAAATAAATGTAAAACTGTTTTTGCCCCTCGTTTTCTGTAGCCAGCTATGGACTTTTGCAAGTTAAGTCCATTTGTTTGTTCGTCAAATGTGTACTGAGATGTGACATACCTGTCGGACACCATCTTGCGCTGTGGGGTCACAGTGACCTGCTCTTGTGCGGGGAGTGAGGGAGTTGGCTGTGAACACTGCTCTTGCTTCGGAGAAACCTGCAGACTAATTGTAGCTCCTGCATCCTCACGGGGAACCAGTAGGGACGTGTGGAGCAGCCTGGAAGAAGGCCACCACCTCCCCTGAAGGGAGCGAAGTGTGGTCACTCCCAAGGCAGGAGCTGGGAGGTGATGGCTTCTCTTCAGAGGGATCTGCTCCCCGGGGAAGGGACCAGAAGTGACACAGGGCAAAAGCACAGAGCAGACCTGGGGGCCATGGAGGACTGCGGAGAGGGGATTCCACACATCCGTCCTCCTCAACAGTTATTTGAACAGCAACAGAGCAACGCTTGGGCTCCGCCTTGCTTCTTCTGCAAACCACGGCGGGGTAGCCATGACTTGCTGAGGGAACAGCCTGAGGATGGGCTCCGGTGATCTCGTTTCTACAGGTTGTTCTATGAGAAAGAAAGAGCCTAGACTGGGTTCTTGCTACAGGTACGACAGAAATTCAATGGCTTTGTGGCATGGAAGCATCTTAAAGTATAAGTCAGTCAACCAGCTCTTGACCTTGAATGAGATGGTGACAACACACGCCAAATCGGGGGCAGTCGGCGGGCACCACCAGCACAGGCTGTAGCCTTCCTTCATGCACATCTGGAACCCTCCCATACCTTGAAGATGAGGAGAGAACACAAACATGAACAATAGTGATGGCAATAATGCATTGGATTATTTTGCCATTGTTCTCTTAGAAAGTAGCACTTCCTATTTCTAGAATGTTTGCATAAGTTACATTTGGAGCTACTAGCTTTGGAACGTGGTTTTCAATTAAACTCAGTTTAGGTGTGTTGGTTTCTCCTGAGACTAGTAGTATCATGGGTGTCAAGGGTAATTTAATAAAACACAAACATCGAATATGTGAAAAATTCATGAGTCCATAATGACACTAAAAAGGAGATAGTCAGTAGAAACTCTTTTGAGACAGCTAATACCAACTCCTTATTTGGAAACTATGTCATTAAAGGGAAGTCCATTGAATGAATGGCTTTCCAGCAGGAACCGTATTTCAGCATAGCAAGTAGCTCCACGTGATGAGAGAAAGCTCTACTGTACAGAAGAATGCCAGCTACCTGCAGGGTGGAAGACTCAGGAAGTCACCACTGCAATTCCGATGAGAATGCAGAGCCAGGCAAGGGCTATCAGCTCGTGTTAAAGGCATTCGGTGAATGGTTGATGGGACCTGGACATTCATATGGAACCAAAGTTTCACCACAACAATATGGTTCTGGTCATCAGGAGAAAAACATAATCAGATTAGGGTGGATGGGTCAGACTGCCATCATCCCAATCTACTCACACATGGTGGGACAACTAGATATGACATATCTCTTGATGTCATGCATTCTGATATCACAGTTCACCTGGAGTGCAGTCTAGCTAAAGCTATTTACCTGGGGTCTAATCACCCCGTAGATGTAACTGCCAAGAAATACAGGGGAGACAGCAACAAGTTAAATGATACCCCAGGCAAGCAAGGGAGCCTCTGCGGCCCAGCGGCTGCGATAGAAGAGCCCTCGAAGGAAAGCTGAGGCTCCTGAGACCCACGAGATGCCACTAGCCCGTGGCCATGCATGGTTTGGGAGTTGCTCCTGGTTTGCACAAATAAGCTAGAAAAGACATTTGAGGGGATTTGAATATATACAGGCTATTAGATGATTTTAAACAATAATTATTCATTTTAACTGTGATAGTGTTACTCTTTGCTATGTAGAAAATTATTCTTATTTTTCTAGAAATGCATTTTGAGGTATTTAGGGGGTAATGTCATGATGTCTCTAATGTATTCTTTACATTGATACACAGTGGGACATTCTGTGTGAAACAGACTGAGTGAGGTTAAGGTCCCCTATGAAATGGCTGAACACACAGAGACTTTTTTTTTAATTGTCACTCAAAGACACTTTTTTCCCATTTATCTTCAGTGCAGGAAAGAGCGAGAGAGCAAGAGAGAGGGAAACATCGATGTGAGAGAGAGAAAGAGAAAGAGAGAGAGACAGAGAGAAACATCCATGTGAGAGAGACACATCAATTGGTTGCCTTTTGCACGACCCTGACCAGGGCCAGGGATTGAACCAAGACTGAGGTACGTGCCCTTGACCGGAATCCAACTTGCGACTTTTTGGTCCTGGGGCTGATGCTCCAGCTGCTGAGCCAAACCAGCCAGGGCATACATGGACCTTTTATCAACCACACTTATCAGAGACAACCCACTAGCAAGCAATGTAACTATAAGTTGCTATCAAATAACGAGTGCAGATTCTACCCACCATCTTCTAAAGATTGATGTCTTCACGGTGAGTAAAGTGAAAAAGGGTAGCATAAAATATTTAGTTCAAAATAATGAGGAAGGCAGTATCATAAGAAGGTAAGTAAAACAACATTTCAGAAGACCTGGTAACTGACCCCAGTGTGTCACCAGAACCTAATAGCCACTGTTCACGGTGAAAAAGTTTTTTAAACAAAATTCACATTTTATTTACGTTGACATAAACTATACAAAATTGACTTTCTTCACCAAAAATAACAGCAATATTTTTGGTCTTATTCCTAGATAACCACAATTAATTATTTTTAAAACTTTTCACTTAGTGCTACTCAAAGTCTTCATCTACTAGTGAAAATCGATCAACCACAGGGAATGATTAGATAAATTATGGTATGCCCACATCTGAGATAGTGTGAAATCATTAACCATTAAGATCTGGATTTAATTTCACTTTTGGATGAAATATTTAATAACTGGAAAACATGTTTATGACAGGACATGCAATTATATTATACTATATTCTAATTTTAAGTAGTAAAAATGATTAAGCCCCCAGATCATGGTTGGGGGGGACAGAGAGGCACCTGTAATGCATTTCGAGTGTGACTGTTAAAAGACAATAAGGGGGAAACCACAGAGGCGACAGTCACACACTGTAGAGCTCGTGGGCACGGACCGATTACATTGCTGACTGTTTCAAACAAGAGAGTAGGTTCTCACCACACTGGGCCGATGTGGTAAATTTCCTGACACAATAGAGAGAAACCTGATTTTACTCATCTGCAAAACCGAGAGGTGAAGAGTTGATGGCCCTTTGCCCTTCTCAGAATGAGTAAACCGCGGTGAGCCGAGCACAGGCCGGGGGACAGCGGTGACAAACACGGCAGCCTGCGCAGGGTGAGCGTGCCGGCAGCCTCAGCTCGTGGTCCCCAGAGCCTTCCAGGGTCCTCTCTCTCAGGAAAGGCGGCCACGCCTGGGGTGCGACCCAGAGACCCGGGCCAACCCCGGGAAACCAGGCCTTTCCCACCGGCAGCCCTTCCTCAGGCATGAGAAGAAACAGGACATTTGCCAAGCGTCACACTGATATGACATTGAGAAGAGACCTGCCTTTTTCGGGGGGCATAACCCAACTTTAACCATGTTAAAAACACACCCCCCGATTGCTGAAGTAGGGTACTCGGGAGCAGTGGGAAAGCTGGGGGTAGAGCCAAAAGCATCGGCAGGAAAGACCTCCAGGCTTCGCTGTGCAGCCAGTAAAGCCAGAGCAACAGGCTTCACAGAAGGACACTTGCACCCATGTGTGTGCATGTGTGTATACATGCAAACACATGCACACACATATGCATATACATGCACACACGCATGTGTACACACATGTGCATGCAAAGAAAAGGCTCTGGATAAACACACACCAAACTTTTAATGGTAAATATCAATGAGAAACTAGAAAAGGAATAGAATAAAAGAGAACTTTTCCTGCTCTATATATTTCTAAAACTTTCTTTTTACAGTAGCAGATATTCATTTCTTTCTTTAAAAAATTTTTTTTCTTTATTGATTTGAGAGAGAGAGGAAGGGAGAGGGAGACAGAGATAGAAATATCAATGAGAGAGAGCATCAATTGGCCGCCTCCTGCATGCCCCCCACTGGGGATTTGGCCCACAACCAGGGCAGGTGCCCTGACTGGGAATCGAACTGGTGACCTCTCAGTTCATGGGTCAATGCTCAACCACTGAGCCACACCAGCCAGGGCTCATTTATTTCTTATGTGAGTTTTAAAAAGAAGGAAGATGAACTCATCCACTCTTGGTTGAAAGGTGGAAGTGGTATAGTCACTTGAAAACAATTTGGAAGTTCCTCCAAATTTAAACACAGTGTTAGCATGTGACCCAGCCATTTCACTCCAAGGCGGTTACCCGGGGAAAGGAATGTGTATGTATATATGAAGATGGGACTGCTTATGGGAGCATTATTT